GATATCCCTAGATCCTCCAACTGATGGATGACTACTCGAGCTATATGCGGTCGTGCATTATCATGCATAAACACGAACTTGTCCTCAAATAATGGAACTAATGGGACCAAGCTTCCGTAAGAATTTTTTTAATGTACATTAGTCAAAAATCCATTCTGTGCGATAACCAGTTTGGAGCGGGCATGGACGTTGTGATTCTACTATATGCCAGACCTATCTATCTGAAAAGTAATGTATGACTAACGCAAGGTAGATGAAGACGTTCTATACGTCTTTTCCTCAAATGGTCTCATCTCCAAGAACATGCTGATTTGATGCGGGACGTCTGAAGACTAACCTATTCTAACTTAGCTTTCTGATAACTTCAACGCTCACCCTTTCTGTACGTACCGTTTGGAGTTAACTACCTATCGGGGAAGCCGTTAATGACGGTTCCGTATTGCAGTAAGAGACAATGAACGTTTCTCTCATGGTACAGTCAGCAGCATGATGAAATATAGTTTCCTTCTATACATAATAGAACCAGTAAAATTTATTCTTGCCTTAGCACCGGGAGAGCCGTTTGACCAGACACTTCTTTAAAATTTTTGGGAGAGCGAGAAGAACCAGAAGAACAATGAAACAACAGATGACATTACAGCGAGAGAAATAGATCAAAGGGAAAAAAAGGTTATCAAGATCGAAAGGGATGTACCCTGTACTTTTATGTGTGGTGTTTCGTGAGCTTGGCACTCTCAACAAGAATGACACAATTACGCAGAAAACTAACACTTTGAACCCTGAAGATGATCTCAATAAAGATCGAAACGTTGGCACGATAAAGAAAATGTTTTTCTAAAACCTACGTCACACAAGACTGCATCTCACGACCTCCAAATAATCATTATGTATTTTATTATTATTAGTTCTATTTATGTTACTATGCTAAGAGAGTAATAATGATATTATAATTTAAGAGTATCAGATTATTTATTAATGAGTCAAATATAAATATATATGATAGTATAATGATATGTTTTCAATTTTTTTATTCTTGAGTTTTAAAAAAAGCTTGAATTTTTATTTTATTTTATCCGTAAGCTAGGTTGATTCACTAATTTAAATTTTAATCATTCCACTAACCATATTCCAAATGAGGAAATATGGGCCAAAGCTATCCAAGCGAATATAGCTTTAATTAGGGAATCGGGCATCAAAGGGGAACAGGCGTTTGTGTTACAGAGGGTGCAACGACGTTATTTCTACCTAGGCAGGTGACGCAATCCAAACAGAAAACTCGTACTTTCGGCTTGTGAAATTTTTGACGGATTGTATTTCTAATTTAAAGTGGAAAATCGGAACTTTTGGATTTTTCTCGAAGACACTGAAGTGTTGAAAGCGTTGTTGTATAAAAAGACACAAATTGAAGGTGTAACTGTGTTGTGGTCTGAGTCAAATATTTTGGGGTGATATTGGACCATAAAAACTCACTTTCACTCCCCGTGTTATTAATGAGGTGAGCAAGGTCAACGCGGCTATCGTCGTTTGCTAAGTAGTACGAGGTGGTCAGGGCCGTTGCTCCTATATTCGTACAGTCTGGAGCCCCACGTGCAGGACTAATGTCGCCAGGCTGCAGGCTATCCAGAACAGGTTTCTGACGCTTACGGCAGATTCGCCTCAGTACACGCCTTACACAATACTGCAAACAAGTTGAAGGTGGTGGAACATCTAGATCTAACCATGAAATATTTTAAGCAGTGCTAAGCGAGTACCAGTACTATCTTCTCCCAAATAGGTAATTATTGTTCGGTCGACAGATACGTGCACAGGAGAATAAAGAACTCTTATAACTTGGTCTTGATAGCTGGGGTTTTTAATCAAATTTTTTTTCCCTGATAGAAAAATAATCTCACGCAAGGTGTCGAAGGAACAGAAACTCTACTAAACCAGTGTATTTAGTATCTTTGTAGATAAAAAAACATTTGCTGTTCTGTTAAAACAACTGTACTCAATGTAAGATATAAATTGTAGTATTGAAGTGAAGAAGCATTACGATCATAGCTGTATGCAATGCAATATATGGAAATGCAATCGTCTACGGTTGCGAGAACTCAAATTTACATAAAAAAGATAAACTTAATATGTATTAAAATATATACTTTAAAGCAAGTAGTCAAGCTGAAAATTGCAGGCTGAAAGGGATTTGAACGCATAACTGGTTGTGACCGGATGATGCTTGAGACGATACACCTCAATGATCATAGGGAGAATGTAGTGAAAATATTAAAAAATACTTCTAGTTTTCAAGCGAGGGCTGTGTGTTCAACAAAGGGTTCTATGATGTCAATAGATATGAATCGTTTAGAAGGAAAAGAATATTTCTTTGGTATTTTTTCATCTTATTAACAAAAATCCTGAGCTTAAAAACAAAACATAACATTTTATCTTTTCGTCTTCAAAGCTTATATTCTCGTCTTCAGACTCTTTTCTTGTTTAAAAGTGTTGTAGACGATTATGAAATATCGTTTGGTTTGGTAGGCGAAAGAGTTTTCAAAGGAAGTAGATTTATTTAATTTTTGTCCAGTCGCTTATTAAAAACATAAAAATTCACTTTTCTAAAACATGTAAATTCGTTTTTTGACCGGTTGATTTGCTTGTGAATTTGTGCGCTTTAGGGCGATCCTTATTCCTTAAGTTTTGTAGCACCGACAAGACTTTAGGACTTTGAGCCTTGAGTGGTCGATACCACTCAGTTCCGCCGCATGCTAAATTTCATTTGAAAGTTGATTAGACGTCATGAAGTTTATTAAGTCCTTCACGGCGGCATTCAAGAGAACAGAACCAGTAATTCCGCTCGGCCTCACAGCTGAACGTGAGCCGAATCTCGTCCCACTCCCCCGGAATCCCTTTAGTCCTCCGCACCCCATTCAATTCTGATAAAATTGCGTTTTACCCAGGATAAAAATAAAAGAAGCTCTTTTTTTTTTTTTGTAATTCTCTTACTTTCTAGTGTGCGCGCTACAGCCAGGTCAGAATTAAAATATGAGTTCCGGACTAAAGGAAGGATCTTTGTTCCCCTCGATACTGCTTTCAAAAAACAAGCAAGCTCACGGTTTTGAAAATATTTTGGCTACTTTTAAATACCCATTATAAAATTGCCGTTAATTATCTTATAACCAATCGTGAGCAATTATTATTTAAAACTAGCTTGATAAACCGGTGTTATTACACCAGGGGAATAATAAAAAGTGTTATTTAACACATTATTTTGAGTACACATATTGCTATTGCTATATAGGGGCATATATATAAATTAAATGAAAATAATTTTAAGTTTAATATGATTGTATTTAGTCATCATATTAGATATTTACATATGCAATATTATTTTTGTTTTGGTTTACATTATATTAAATTGTAATTACTGTTGTATTCAGCGTTAAATTCATTACAATGCTGTTGGATATACAATGTTTTTAGTGATTCCTTTTGGCACACAACAAATCTTTTGGGGTTCCTGGAGCATGCAATTTACAATTTGCATGAGAAAACCATGGATTCTACAAATTCAATCCACATAATAGCATTGATTGACTTTGTGATTTGTTTATCATTAGTGCACAAGCCAATACAATTAAAAATTGAAATCATTTGAATAGGAAAGGCACTTCTGTTTGTATCATTAGTATATGTTGCATTAGCTACATCCTCTCCTTTGAATTTCAGTATATATATATATATATATATATATATATATATATATATATATACATATATATATATATAATGTTGTTGTGCCACGATAATGTTGATTTCAACCAAAATACTCTGAAAAATGTATCGTCAACGTGCGTCCCCAGTTACAACACTGGTTTGTTAAGGTATTATTTTGCATTTAAATGATTTTTATTGGGCTGAGTCAGGCGATAAAATTAGCATTTAAACTGGTTTGAAATGGTCTATGCCTTTTCACTTTTGTCTGTATCTCCAAGAAGAAGAGTAGAGAACGATCATCAGGGTAAAGCGAAGTTTTTACGTTCTTAGTGCAAGGTATTTTGTTGAAATGTACAAGAACCAGGGTGAGTTCAAGGATAGAGCCTTCAGGAACACCAGCAACAATGTCTCTCCATTGGGAAAAGGATAAGCGAAAGAAAACTCGGAATTCGTTTTATTGCTCTTACTGCACTACAGAGCCGTCATTTGACGGCTTCCTCGATAAGTACTTAACTCAAAACTTTCCGTGATGGAAGGGTGAAATGTAACGTCATCAGAGGGGTGAGATTAGCTTAGTTTCAAAATGTCCTGCGTCAGTACTACAACTGGAGAGGCATCCACTTTTGGAGATTGAATGAATTTCTCTTAGTAATTAACATAACTATAAAAAACATATAGTTTTTAATCAACATGAAAATACGAGGGTCCCTTTTTAAATTTTTTTGTAACTTTTGTAAAACATTTAAATGTCAGCTTTTTACACGGTTATTGTATCAAATGTAATTCTTATTAGATTCTCAGTAGAAAAAATGTGAACTTTGTAAATCGCTTTGAGCCCAGTTTCCCCTGTTAGCAATTGACAGTCACAAAACAGAATCGTGACCCTACTGTTAAGCACTAGAAAGAAGATTACATTTTGTAACATGCTTGCAACTGGCAACATAAGTTGCTGAAAAGATTTGCCGAAGAAAAAGCTTTTAATCGGAATGGTTCTAAACTGCAAATAAAAATTGATAAAACTGATATCATTTAAAAAAAATGTAGTTGTGTTAAAATTACCACCAGTTTGATGATTTATTTACTAGGAAATGTTTACATACCAAATGAAAATAAAATTAAGACTAAACCAAACAACCGAGATTATAGTAAATTTATTTAACTCGTATCACTACGAACCTGACTATTGCAACTAACCAGAATTTTTTACAAAAACAATATCAAAATTTATTATCGGTACATTTCTCTTTGCCCTTTCTCTTCGAATCGATTCTTTTCAGAAAATAACAATATCTGAATTTGTCACCTACCTGCGGAAGAGTGTTCTCGAGGTGGATAATCGTCGCTCCGATTTTGTTCTCCCCGAGCTCCTTCCTGAATCTCCCAGAGACAGTTTCGACCCCCTGAAAGCAAAGCAAGAATGAAAAATATTTTATCAATTAAATAAACCCTAAGTAAATAATATTAGAGGCCTTTTGTTGCCGTGTTTGATAGGAAGTAAAATTAAAATGAAACGATATTGTAAATTATTTAATAAAATAAAACAAATTAAATCTTGGAAACAGTTTATTTTCGTATCAAAACTAGTTTCAATAAAACATGAACCGTGAAGTTCCAAGTGTTTTCATTGGCCACATTGTGTACCTTATAGGTCGATAGCTGTGGAACTTGTTAACTTAATATTCTTGCTGAGACTTATTGGGTTGTCCGGAAAATAATGCAGGATTTTGGTATTAAACAAAAAAAAAGAAACTAGTTACTTTAAAGCAATGTTCTTTAATCAAAATAATTTCCCATACTCTCAATACATTTCTCCCAACGTGTTGGTAACTTATTAATTCCGTCTGAGTAGAATTCAGAATTTTTAGAATTGATAAAGTCAATAAATGCATTTTCCAGTTCCGTTTGATT